AAAGATATCGCCTTTGAACAAGGCGAATTATTAACGTTAGATAATAAACATTATCTGCTGACAGAGCAAAGTCCCTCACAATCAGGCGGAAAGGGAATTCACCAACAGCATTCTGACGCCTCCCAGTGGACAAGGGACGCCAGCACACCCGAATGGAAAACCCTTGGGCGCATGTTCGTCTGTTTTCTGTATCAAACTTTGAACACGTCAGTCAAATCTTTTTTGACAACAAAGTGAATTTCATGCAGTAATCCACATGAAACGCACAAAACAGGCCAGAAACATCATGAATTACATTCTAGCTCTCAACAACTGTGATTCTATGCATTTGAACTGATTCTGTTGTAAAAGTGAATTTCATGCAGTAAACCACTTGAAACGCACAAAACAGACCAGAAACATCATGAATTACATTCTAGCTCTCAACAACTGTGATTCTATGCATTTGAACTGATTCTGTTGTAAAAGTGAATTTCATGCAGTAAACCACTTGAAACGCACAAAACAGGCCAGAAACATCATGAATTACATTCTAGCTCTCAACAACTGTGATTCTATGCATTTGAACTGATTCTGTTGTAAAAGTGAATTTCATGCAGTAAACCACTTGAAACGCACAAAACAGGCCAGAAACATCATAAATTACATTCTGGCTCTCAACAACTGTGATTCTATGCATTTGAACTGATTCTGTTGTAAAAGTGAATTTCATGCAGTAAACCACTTGAAACGCACAAAACAGGCCAGAAACATCATGAATTACATTCTGGCTCTCAACAACTGTGATTCTATGCATTTGAACTGATTCTGTTGTAAAAGTGAATTTCATGCAGTAAACCACTTGAAACGCACAAAACAGGCCAGAAACATCATGAATTACATTCTAGCTCTCAACAACTGTGATTCTATGCATTTGAACTGATTCTGTTGTAAAAGTGAATTTCATGCAGTAAACCACTTGAAACGCACAAAACGGACCAGAAACATCATGAATCACATTCTAGCTCTCAACAACTGTGATTCTATGCATTTGAACTGATTCTGTTGTAAAAGTGAATTTCATGCAGCAAACCACTTGAAACGCACAAAACAGGCCAGAAACATCATGAATTACATTCTAGCTCTCAACAACTGTGATTCTATGCATTTGAACTGATTCTGTTGTAAAAGTGAATTTCATGCAGCAAACCACTTGAAACGCACAAAACAGGCCAGAAACATCATGAATTACATTCTAGCTCTCAACAACTGTGATTCTATGCATTTGAACTGATTCTGTTGTAAAAGTGAATTTCATGCAGCAAACCACTTGAAACGCACAAAACGGACCAGAAACATCATGAATTACATTCTGGCTCTCAACAACTGTGATTCTATGCATTTGAACTGATTCTGTTGTAAAAGTGAATTTCATGCAGTAAACCACTTGAAACGCCTAAAACGGACCAGAAACATCATGAATTACATTCTAGCTCTCAACAACTGTGATTCTATGCATTTGAACTGATTCTGTTGTAAAAGTGAATTTCATGCAGCAAACCACTTGAAACGCACAAAACAGGCCAGAAACATCATGAATTACATTGTAGCTCTCAACAACTGTGATTCTATGCATTTGAACTGATTCTGTTGTAAAAGTGAATTTCATGCAGTAAACCACTTGAAACGCACAAAACAGGCCAGAAACATCATGAATTACATTCTAGCTCTCAACAACTGTGATTCTATGCATTTGAACTGATTCTGTTGTAAAAGTGAATTTCATGCAGTAAACCACTTGAAACGCACAAAACGGACCAGAAACATCATGAATCACATTCTAGCTCTCAACAACTGTGATTCTATACATTTGAAGTTATTCTGTTGTAAAAGTGAATTTCATGCAGCAAACCACTTGAAACGCACAAAACAGGCCAGAAACATCATGAATTACATTCTGGCTCTCAACAACTGTGATTCTATGCATTTGAACTGATTCTGTTGTAAAAGTGAATTTCATGCAGCAAACCACTTGAAACGCCTAAAACGGACCAGAAACATCATGAATTACATTCTAGCTCTCAACAACTGTGATTCTATGCATTTGAACTGATTCTGTTGTAAAAGTGAATTTCATGCAGCAAACCACTTGAAACGCACAAAACAGGCCAGAAACATCATGAATTACATTCTAGCTCTCAACAACTGTGATTCTATGCATTTGAACTGATTCTGTTGTAAAAGTGAATTTCATGCAGCAAACCACTTGAAACGCATAAAACGGACCAGAAACATCATGAATTACATTCTAGCTCTCAACAACTGTGATTCTATGCATTTGAACTGATTCTGTTGTAAAAGTGAATTTCATGCAGCAAACCACTTGAAACGCCTAAAACGGACCAGAAACATCATGAATTACATTCTAGCTCTCAACAACTGTGATTCTATGCATTTGAACTGATTCTGTTGTAAAAGTGAATTTCATGCAGCAAACCACTTGAAACGCACTAAAACGGACCAGAAACATCATGAATTACATTCTGGCTCTCAACAACTGTGATTCTATGCATTTGAACTGATTCTGTTGTAAAAGTGAATTTCATGCAGCAAACCACTTGAAACGCCTAAAACGGACCAGAAACATCATGAATTACATTATGGCTCTCAACAACTGTGATTCTATGCATTTGAACTGATTCTGTTGTAAAAGTGAATTTCATGCAGTAAACCACTTGAAACGCCTAAAACGGACCAGAAACATCATGAATTACATTCTAGCTCTCAACAACTGTGATTCTATGCATTTGAACTGATTCTGTTGTAAAAGTGAATTTCATGCAGCAAACCACTTGAAACGCACAAAACAGGCCAGAAACATCATGAATTACATTCTAGCTCTCAACAACTGTGATTCTATGCATTTGAACTGATTCTGTTGTAAAAGTGAATTTCATGCAGTAAACCACTTGAAACGCACAAAACAGGCCAGAAACATCATGAATTACATTCTAGCTCTCAACAACTGTGATTCTATGCATTTGAACTGATTCTGTTGTAAAAGTGAATTTCATGCAGTAAACCACTTGAAACGCACAAAACGGACCAGAAACATCATGAATTACATTCTAGCTCTCAACAACTGTGATTCTATGCATTTGAACTGATTCTGTTGTAAAAGTGAATTTCATGCAGCAAACCACTTGAAACGCCTAAAACGGACCAGAAACATCATGAATTACATTCTAGCTCTCAACAACTGTGATTCTATGCATTTGAACTGATTCTGTTGTAAAAGTGAATTTCATGCAGTAAACCACTTGAAACGCACAAAACGGACCAGAAACATCATGAATCACATTCTAGCTCTCAACAACTGTGATTCTATGCATTTGAACTGATTCTGTTGTAAAAGTGAATTTCATGCAGTAAACCACTTGAAACGCACAAAACAGGCCAGAAACATCATGAATTACATTCTAGCTCTCAACAACTGTGATTCTATGCATTTGAACTGATTCTGTTGTAAAAGTGAATTTCATGCAGCAAACCACTTGAAACGCACAAAACAGGCCAGAAACATCATGAATTACATTCTAGCTCTCAACAACTGTGATTCTATGCATTTGAACTGATTCTGTTGTAAAAGTGAATTTCATGCAGCAAACCACTTGAAACGCCTAAAACGGACCAGAAACATCATGAATTACATTCTAGCTCTCAACAACTGTGATTCTATGCATTTGAACTGATTCTGTTGTAAAAGTGAATTTCATGCAGTAAACCACTTGAAACGCACAAAACAGGCCAGAAACATCATGAATTACATTCTAGCTCTCAACAACTGTGATTCTATGCATTTGAACTGATTCTGTTGTAAAAGTGAATTTCATGCAGCAAACCACTTGAAACGCCTAAAACGGACCAGAAACATCATGAATTACATTCTAGCTCTCAACAACTGTGATTCTATGCATTTGAACTGATTCTGTTGTAAAAGTGAATTTCATGCAGCAAACCACTTGAAACGCCTAAAACGGACCAGAAACATCATGAATTACATTATGGCTCTCAACAACTGTGATTCTATGCATTTGAACTGATTCTGTTGTAAAAGTGAATTTCATGCAGTAAACCACTTGAAACGCCTAAAACGGACCAGAAACATCATGAATTACATACTGGCTCTCAACAATTTTGATTCTATGCATTTGAACTGATTCTGTTGTAAAAGTGAATTTCATGCAGCAAACCAATTTTACATGGTTCTTCGAACCGGATATGCCTAAGATGGATAAAGCCATACAGGTCTCAAGAAGTGCACCTTCTCTTCTGCTGCCCACTCATGATAACCAAGATGGGGGAGGAATGGAGTACACAGGCAGCTTCCGTTCACTTTATGGAGCAACTGCAGCACAAGGCACCACCGTGAAGCCAGTCTCATATGACGTCCAGTCACAGCATGGGATTCACACAATGGACACCGGAGGCGCAACTACTGCTCTACATGGACTAGGAGCTCGTCCTAAACAGAAATCCAGGATTCCAAACCCAAGCCTGAGGAGCAGTGGAAGGCAAAGGAGGATTCCAACACATTTCAAAGACTATGAGGTCAGTTTGTTGCCAATATGGCAATATGACGCACATTCCCAGTCTGATATTGCGGAGTCACTGTCTGATGGAAGCACATTTTCTCAACGCAGTCGGAGACCAATGGATGCGTTAAAAGAATCCCTTGACCAATCAGAGCTGGCCCAGGTGGAGGAGAGGCTCAGACACATGGAGTTGCATGAGGAAGAAAAGGCTGAGGAGTGTCTACGCCGCATGGATACACAGGCCAGAGAAGCGTCCATGGCCCGTGAGCAACAGTTTGACTCGAGCCGAACGCATACGCCAGGCAGAGAGAGATTATGAGGAAGCAAGGATGGTGTCCCAGCTTCTGAAATATCCTAGTCCTATGCGTCGGTCCAGCACCAATCTACGACCAGAGAGCGCCATGTTAGCGTTGGGACTCAGTCTGCATGAAGCGCCTCAGCCTGCGCCTCAGCCTGTGCCTCAGCCGGCGCCTCAGCCTGTGCCTCAGCCGGCGCCTCAGCCGGCGCCTCAGCCGGCGCCTCAGCCGGCGCCTCAGCCGGCGCCTCAGCCGGCGCCTCAGCCGGCGCCTCAGCCGGCGCCTCAACCTGTCCCTCTCCAGCCTCCTGTGCCTCAGCCTGCGCCTCTCCAGTCTCCGGCGCCTCTCCAGCCTCCGGCGCCTGTCCCTCTCCGGCGCCTCTCCAGCCTCCGGCGCCTCTCCAGCCGCCGGCTCCGCTCCAGCCGCCTGCGCTTCTCCAGCCTAGTCCAGAAGCAGACATGGCCTCCACTTCCTCCGATACAAGTCCCTGTAAATGCTGGTTATTCCCCGAATATGACTGAACTGTTGATAGCAACAACCTACGGCATCCCAAAGCCGCAGTTCCCTCGTCAAGGAAAGTGACTTTTTGTTATTAAAGATGGCCTTTGACAGCTTACTTGGGAACCACCCTCATCTATCCGAGCAGTATAAGTACCAGATCCTACTCGAGAGACTCAAGCATCCACCTGCTTACCAACTGGCCAGAGCTCACATTCATCATCCTCAGCCATACACCTCAGCCATGCATGCATTGACTTCACGATGCGGGCAGCCACGTCACTTGATACAGAGTGAGATAGCACGCATTCTCAACTCTGCGTCTGTTAAAGCAAATGATGTGGCTGCATTCGAAGAGTTTGCTCTGGCTGTGCAGTCTCTGGTCGGACTACTTACAGTGCCTTGCGAAAGTATTCGGCCCCCTTGAACCTTTCAACATTTTGCCACATTTCAGGCTTCAAACATAAAGGTATAACATTTTTATTTTTTGTCATGAATCAACAACAAGGGGGACACAATCGTGAAGTGGAACAAGATTTATTGGATATTTTAACTTTTTTAACAAATAAAAAACTGAAAAGTGGGGCGTGCAATATTATTCGGCCCCGTTACTTTCAGTGCAGCAAACTCACTCCAGAAGTTCAGTGAGGATCTTTGAATGATCCAATGTTGTCCTAAATGACTGATGATGATAAATAGAATGCACCTGTGTGTAATCAAGTCTCCGTATAAATGCACCTGCTCTTTGATAGTCTCAGGGTTCTGTTTAATGCGCAGAGAGAACCATGAAGACAAAGGAACACACCAGGCAGGTCCGAGATACTGTTGTGGAGAAGTTTAAAGCCGGATTTGGATACAAAAAGATTTCCCAAGCTTTAAACATCTCAAGGAGCACTGTGCAAGCAATTATATTGAAATGGAAGGAGTATCAGACCACTGCAAATCTACCAAGACCCGGCCGTCCCTCCAAACTTTCATCTCAAACAAGGAGAAGACTGATCAGAGATGCAACCAAGAGGCCCATGATCACTCTGGATGAACTGCAGATAACTACAGCTGAGGTGGGAGAGTCTGTCCATAGGACAACAATCAGTCGTGCACTGCACAAATCTGGCCTTTATGGAAGAGTGGCAAGAAGAAAGCCATTTCTCAAAGATACCCATAAAAAGTCTTGTTTAAAGTTTGCCACAAGCCACCTGGGAGACAAACCAAACATGTGGAAGAAGATGCTCTGGTCAGATGAAACCAAAATCGAACTTTTTGGCCACAATGCAAAACGATATGTTTGGCGTAAAAGCAACACAGCTCATCACCCTGAACACACCATCCCCACTGTCAAACATGGTGGTGGCAGCATCATGGTTTGGGCCTGCTTTTCTTCAGGACTGTAACTTTGTGACACGCCAGGGATTGTGCACTCTATAGTCTCCTACAGCGGTAGGTGCGCGCCTCAGTCCAACCTAGTATATTTAATCACAGATATTAATTACTATTAATTCCCAGGTGTCAGCGGCGGTCTGCACCGTTGGGACACGTCTCCTCTGCTGCTTTGCTCCCCCCCTGTTTTGCCACCCGTGTTTCCACTTATTGTAGCATTGTCTGTGTTTTTGTTTTGTGCTGCTGCTTTCCTCTGACCTGTTGTGTCCCCACCTCCTCTGTGGCCCCGCTTCCATCCAGCGGTCGGTGCTCCAGCCGCGCTCTGCGCGCTTGGCTCACTTGGAGTTCTTCTCCCCCATTCTTGTCTGTCAGGCACGGAGGGCTGCTGCGGAGCGGTCGTGGTGCAGTGGGAACTAGTATTTTAAATTAGTCTTTTCAAATTGCAAGTTTTATAAATGTTGTTTAACTAATGTATGAAAATAAAGAAAAGTATTTTAAATGGAACCTGGGCCTGTTCTTACTTACCTGTGTGCCTTGAGGAATAGTTCCCTATAACTAAAAATAGGGTGGCGTTGTTGCAACCATTTGTCGGATTTAGAAGTTTTCCCTAAACCACAACCAGCTAAGGCTCGGTACCACGACATCTATATTAATTTCAGAGTGAATTAAGACACAATGGGCCTCATGTATGAAACTTGCGTATGGCCAAATCAGGGTGTAAACAGACTGTAAAAATTAATGGACGTAGTCTCGCCACTCTCCGTCATTCTAACTAATGGGCCAAAAATAATGCTCTACTGGCGCTATCCAAAATGGCATCTGCGCATGCATCAGCCTGCGCAAGCTCCATTCATTTGAACGAGAGACTTAAAAAATTTACAGCAAGTAAACTAGAGTGGTCCAAAAAAAAGTCAGGAGGTGGTGTAAATGTGTACGCTCATTTCAACCTTCGTCACAACACGTCAAAACACGCATGATATTCAAGATTTGGACAACAATAAACATAATCCCGCTCTGGCAAAATTATAAGATGCATTTTCATGGAGCATCATGTTTCAGAATTTGAATTTGCGCGTCAGAAAAACACTCTTTGAATAAATCACAGATCATGATGAGGAGCCTCTTCTGTTTCTATGATTTTAGATCTAACTTCAGTGTGTATTATTTTGATCTGTATGTTTTTAAAATGTGAAGCGCTTTGTGATCCTGGACTCTATACAAATAACTTGCCAGGGATGTGTGACCCATACAGTATATTGCTGTGGCAGGCTCTGCGCTGCGCGTAATTACGCACGGCTATTTATATTCTTCATTCACATCTGATAAAGCAATGTATGTTTTCATTAGATTTGTGTAAGCCTCACATAGACACACACCCCATTAACTTATGGACCGCTGTCACTATGGTATTGCTCACTCAAAAAGTCTCACTGCCCTGTCCACCCGCTGCGCATTCTTGGGAGTGAATGCAGAGCAGGTGCCGTGAGAGGTCGCCCCACATAACTCCTCAAATGCTGTCATTCAGAAGTTTTGGCTCCAGAGTTTCTCTGAAAAATTTGGACCGCAAACGCTCTCTCAAGTGTACAGCGCTTCAGTGCATTCAAAAGACGCTGCAGACGCTTCATTGATGAGAGCTGATGAGAGAGTGCACAGCATGAATTCATTCATTAATTCTTTATTTATTCATTTCTACAATTCAAGAGAGATTTCTCTAATTTATCAAAACATTTTTGCAAATTTGTTCAAAACGCAGCTGAATAAATAGCGTAGCGTAGTATATAGCGTATATTTATTTTTACATAAGCATGAACGTGGCAGACCCTGCGCCGTATACGTTTTGCCTCATTCACCTCTGGCAAAACAATGTGGGTTTTCCTTAGTTTTGTCCATAAAGAATCAGAATCAGAATCATTTTTATTGCCACGTAAGTAACAGGAAGTCACAGAATTAATAGTTACTTAATGTAACTTAAGTTCTACGAATAGGTGCGTAGTCCCTTAGGACTTCGCTAGTGGGATATTACTCGTGACCCCCAGGTCACACGCCAGAGAGATCAAAATAATTTGCTCCAATCACCAGCCACCTTCCTCTATAAATGCCCCTGCACAAGGCCGCACCCCCTCTTGAACTCTGCCAAGCCGGGCTGGCCTGATGGGCTCGTAGCTAAGGGACTACGCACCTATTCGTAGAACTTAAGTTACATTAAGTAACTATTAATTCTACGTCATGGTGCTACGTCCCTTAGGACTTCGCTAGTGGGACACAACGCGGAGGCCGTAGGAAAATGTACTCCCAGCAGGCCAGCGAAGGGTGATTGGAGCTCCGCCCGAGCAAGACCCTCACAAAGTGAGAGGACTCAGGGCAGAAGAAACAATGCGTGTTACAGGGCCACTCCTACCAAGGATACCCCCACGTAACACAGATATAGGTCATCCGTAGTCACAGGACGCCTCTCCCAAGGGCTCCTGACGTGGACTACCAGACCGACCAAAACACACATATATGTACCGCACCTGTAGGATGCCTCTCCCAAGAGCTCCTGAACCAGGGCGGAAAGTAAACCGAAGGCCCCCTCAGAGGAGGGACCTAACGGTCTAACTCAGTCCGCTGCATTCAGCACGGAATGGGCCACCGACCGGTCCGACACATCCGAAAGATAAGACCGGACGAAAGAGGAGGACGACGCCCAAGAAGCCGCACGGCAAACGTCCTCGACCGACGCCCCCCTGAGAAGGGCCGTAGAGGCCGCCATCCCACGCGTGGAATGCGACCTGAAACCCACCGGGGGGGCCAGACCCTGCGTCTGATACGCCCGCCGCACCGCCGTGGCGACCCAATGCGCCAGCCGCTGAGCCGACAGCGGGGCGCCCCTGTTCTTGGGGCTCAGACACACAAACAGCTGATCACCCGACCTGAATGACGACGTCATGGCCAGGTAATGCCTCAGCATTCTGATAGGACACAGAAGGTGCTGCCGCTCCTCCTCGGGGGAGGCATGCGGCGGCGGGTGGAAAGCCCTAATCCTGATGACTCTCGACCTAAAGGCCGACGTGATGACCTTGGGGAGAAAAGCCGGATTGGGCCACAATTCCACCATGCCGTCGTCCTCTCCAAAGGACAGGCACGACGCATGGACGGAGAGCGCACACAAATCGCCCGCCCTCTTAGCAGACGCCAACGCCAGTAAGAGGGCCGTCTTAAAGGCGATACACTCGGGACTCGCCTCCGCCGCCGGTTCAAAAGGCGGACCCGACAGCCCCCTAAGGACCACCCTGAGGTCCCAAACCGGAGGCGTTCTCTGGAGCGGGGGCCTCCTCCTGCGCGCCCCCCGTAGAAAACGTTTAACCAACGGGTGAGAACGGGCTGTGAACCCCCCGAATCCGTCGTGACCTGAAGTAATGGCTGCCGCAAAAACCGCCAAGGTAGCGACAGCCCTCCCCTTGTCGAAGAGCTCCTGTAGGAATCCCAGGACCCCCTCCAGCGGGCAACACCTGGGATCCCAGGAACGGGAATCGCACCAGACACTGAATAGCCTCCACCTCGTGGCGTAGGCCCTCACGGTGGACGGCG